GTATGTGGCTGAATTAAGAGGATCTTTATCTGAGGGACTGGCTAAATACTTGCTTCTAACCTTGTTTTTTTTCTGTTTCCAGTGCATCCACAGAGATGTAAAGCCTGAAAACATCTTGATAACAAAGCACTCAGTCATCAAACTTTGTGACTTTGGATTTGCTCGAATACTGAGTGAGTGCTGTGCACAGATCGTGAACACATGAAAGCTCCACTGAAGTGCAGGATCAGCCTTTCAAACACCCACTTGTCTTTGTCTGATGCATCTGCACATCATCCTATATAATGGCTGCAGTGTTTTCCCAGGGAAGTTCTGCTAAAGGCTGGGTAGGAATCCCCCAACCAGCCTAAAGGGAGTGAGCCCATTTAAACAACCAGAGCTCCCTGCTGCAGGTGCTGGCACTGGAGCTGGAAGTTGGCTTTGGGCATCTTGGAGCTGCCCAGGCGTTATTATGCAATGCTGGAGACACAGCTGGGTTCCCTGGCAGGAAAAGCCCCTCTGGCTGCCTCTGCAAACAATGGCTTCTCATTTTCCATGTAAATAAACCCCCTGATCTGTTTTTTTAGCTCCTGTTCAGGCAAACCACGTGGGCTTTGAGAACTGCCCTGCTGTGGAGCTCTGCATATTTTCATATGGAGAAAAACATCCTCTTGATTTTTGCCAGATCCTAAGCGTTTCCAAAGTTGGGTACTGCTAGTGGCCAGTGACTCACCCTGTTCCTGCAGCTGCCCAGGAGGTGCCTCCAACACATGTAAGAGCTGATGACAGCACCTCTGCATTGCTCTAATCCCACATTCCTGTGTGTTTCTCTCCCTCCTGGCCCCATCCTAGCTGGTCCCAGTGACTATTACACAGACTACGTGGCGACCAGGTGGTACCGGTCCCCAGAGCTGCTGGTGGGAGACCAGTATGGACCTCCTGTGGACGTGTGGGCCATTGGCTGCGTCTTTGCAGAGCTGCTCTCAGGGGTGCCCCTGTGGCCTGGCAAGTCAGATGTGGATCAGCTGTACCTCATCAGGAGAACCCTGGGTGAGTGACCCTCCACACCAGCCTTCCCGATGTATTTGGCAACACTACAGCTTGCCCAGGAGGATTTGCCTCTGTGGTGGGAATGAGAGTAACCAGGAGGTGAATTTCTCCACCCCTTAGTAGGTGTTGATTTATTTGAGATGTTCCTGTCCTTAAGGAGGAGTTGGGTTTTCATAGTATCTTAGTATGTTAGGGGGTTGGGATGAAGTTTACAGATCATCCAGTCCCAACCCCTGCCCTGGGCAGGGACACCTCCCACCAGAGCAGGTTGCTCAAGGCTTTAGCCAACCTGGCTCTGAACACTGCCAGGGTTGGGGTAGCCACAGCCTCCCTGGGCAACCTGTGCCAGTGTCTCACCACCCTCACAGGGAAAACTTCTGCCTAAGATCTAATCTGAATTTCCCTCTTTCCATTTCTCCCCCTTACTCCTTGTCTTTTTCCCTGCAGTTCCTACCCAAGAGTCCCTCTGCAGCTTCCCTGGAGCCCCTTCAGCTCCTGGCAGGTTGCTCTGAGGTCTCCACACAACCTTCTCTTCTCCAGGCTCAACAGCCCCAACTCCCTCAGCCTGTCATACTGTTTCCTGGTATGATGTATACATGGCCCACAACAGACCAGGCTGTGGAAGCAGGATCATTCCCTGCCTGGAACCATCCTTCCACTCTCTTTAGCAGTGGTGGCCTCTGGGAAGCTGGATCTGGTGCTGGGCGGATTAGGAAAGACCTGGGAAGTGTTAGGTGACCACTGGCATCAGCCTTGTTAGAGGATATAGAGGATACAATGCAGGCACTGTAAAACCAACAAATTAATCCAACTTTGTTTTTCTAATTGTTGGTCCAAGGGGATCTCATTCCCAGGCACCAGCAAGTGTTCAGCACCAACCAGTTCTTCAGTGGGGTGAGAATTCCAGACCCAGAGAGCATGGTAAGAGCTGCCTCCAGACTCACTTCCTTTGAGCCTAGTGCTCTCTTCCACTCTAATCCACACTGTCCCACTCTGATCCACTCTCTTCCACTAATCCATTCTGCAGTGCTAAGGACACAGGGTGTTTGGACAGGCAAGTGTTCCTGCTTCATTTGACTCATAGACATGCTGGCTTCTTTGGATGTAGAGCTGGAAAAGCCTCACTAAGCTTGACCAGTCCTTCCCTGCACAGTGTTCTTTCTTTGCCCTCCACAGCGTGCACTAGGATATTCTTCAGAGGTGGCTGAGCCCCTCTGATTACATACCCTATGTAAAAGCAGTCAAACAAGTGCTTAATGTCCTGTTCACCCATTTCTGGTGGCACAGCAGCTATCCTGACATCCTCAGTGATTCCAGGCCTCTGAGCACATGGAGTTACAGAGGCATTTTGTGAGGAACAGGTCACATTGCTATGGAAACCTGAGTGTCTGTACCCTGATGAATTAAGAACTTTTTAATATGAGTACACTCACTGGGTTTTTTCCCCCCAGGAGCCATTGGAAATGAAATTCCCCAATATTTCCTACTCTGCTCTGGCTCTGATGAAGGTAAGGAAGTTCTAGCTGGTGGAGGAGCTCTGCACTGGGATTAGCACATGCTGTGAGTAAATATCTGGGAGTTGGGGACTGAATTATCAGAGATTCATTGAAAGACAGAGCTGGTTTGGTACCCCATGAGATTGTAACTGTTCCTTGAGCCACAACTGTGGACTTCCCATGCTTGGAAGTGTTCCAGGCCAGGCTGGATTGGGCTTGGAGCAACCTGGGCTGGTGGAAGGTGTCCCTGTGGGAATACTCATTGGCTGTGGTGAGTAGCTGGAATTGTGCAGACCTGCTCAATGAGTGTTTTGTGTGATCCTTCACCATCCTAAGGGGTGCCTTCGGATGGACCCTGCGGAGAGACAGACCTGTGAACAGCTGCTGCAGCATCCCTACTTTGACAGCTTTAGGGAGGCAGTGGATCTGGGGAAGGAACATGAGAAAACAGCTCAGAAACCAGCCAGGCTGACTCGGAAGCACATGCCAGGGGTAAGGTTTCCATAGTGTTTGCCATTCCATGCCTAAGCAGAGGGCTGGTTCCTTTGTTTGGCTCCCAGGAGGTGGCTGTGCTGTGCTGTACTGGCAGTTTGTGGTGTTAGACTGGTCTTAGCTCTAGCCCGAGGAGAGAACAAACCTCCTGGATAAAGGATAATTTCATACAGACTGGATTCTGCTCTGTGGCTCCATGGGGCATTGGGGATAAGCAGCACAGCCATGTGAACCATCCAGGAATGTACACTCCTGACAAAGAGTAGCAGGAGAGCTAAACAAACTGGATGGACTTGTGTGGCCAATTTAATTTGGGATCTGCTTTTGAATCCTGAATTATGGAGAGGGCAAAAATGCCCAGTTCCATTTGTAACTGCTGATGGGATGTTATCCTGGGTGTTTCTGCAGCTGGAGTGGCCAAGCAAGTGTCTCCCTACTGCTTCAGCCTTCCCAGACTCTATCCCAAATCCTGCAATCCAGCCTCATGACAAGTCATTCTGCAGTTTAGTATTCCCATATTCCCCATGGCAGCTGGAACACTGAGCTGGTCACAGGCAGGGAGGCTGGAGGTGAGGGATGGAGAACTGCTACAGCATGTAAATACCTGGATCAAGCTGAGTCACATCTTTGTTTCTATGACATGGGATGTAACAGGAGTATTTTTGTTCCCCTGGATGACTGGAAGAAATTCCTTTAATGAGCTGTTCCAGTTGCAGTCCAGTGGTAGAACCCCAGGTCCATGACTCTGAATTTGAAAGGGATTACAGTAGGAATAGTGAAATTTTTCCATGTGAAAAATGTGTGCTTCATCCTCATTCCAAACAAACCCACACTGTGTAGCTTTTTCTTTCCTTCCAGCACCTGCCTCAGCTCACCAGCAGTCATGTTCTCCCAGCCTTGGACAGCAAGAAGCACTGCTGCAAGACCAGGAAATCCAACTACCACTTCCCAAACATCTGACCAGGTGGAAGATTCAAACTTGATTGTTCAAGGTTCCAGTCATTTGGGATTTCTAAACAGAGGCTATGAGGTGGAAAACTAAACTACTAAATGTTATGACATGTACAAAGTGGTCTGGCATGTCCTCTGGGTCACTGGTGGAGGGGGAGTGATGCAGAAAGAATTCCAAGCTTGGCTTCGAGTCCTGTGTACAAAGGAGAATACATTTGGTTTTAATTTGGGATTGTATCCTGGTTCAGGATTACCCCAACCCAGGGCTTGCAGACTGAATTTTAACTCTGTCACCTGTATTGCAGACTTGGCAGAACTGCAGCCTTGCCAGATCAGTCAGTCCCTCTGGGACTAAGCCACTGATCCCTGAGGAGCTGTTAGTGTATTCCTGATGGGATGGAAGATGGATGTGTCTGTGGAGCCCAGGCTGATGAGAGGCTGTCTGGCTGCTCCAGGTAGTTCTCAGCCTGTGGAAGCAGCACTGCTCCAGGGATACACCTGTCTTACTCCTGCATGAGTAGATCACCAAGGTTTAACAGTACTGGTAGTGACTTCTCAGCAGAACAGATCCACAATAACCCCGTGCTTTCCTCAGCCTTTCCAGAGGTTCATCCTGGCATTCTGGGGTTGCTTTTATTTGCTGTTTCTGACAATAGTGAGGCCACTTGCTTGTTAGGTGCAGAAATTGTTTGTATCACAACTAATCATGGATATAATTTATAGCATTGCTCAGACACAGGCAGGAATTCTGCCCACGTGTTTGTGTTGGAATGACTCTGGTTTGTGGAATCCCAGGAAATAATACTGTGTTGATTTTGAATAAAAGAAACATAGCTTTTTTTTCTAACTTACTGGATGTATTTTTCACTGCTGGGCAAGGCACATCCTCTTTTTTCTTGAAACTAAGGGCAAAATGTTTTCTTTTCCCAGTACATTCTGCGTTCCACAACACTAAAAGCCATTTCAGTGGGAAAGATGCCATGTCCCATCAGTCTGTTCTTTCCTTACACAGAGAGAACATGTCTGAGACAGCACTATGGATCTGCTCCCTGCCCTTCTCTATCACCAGAGCTAGGAATGCTGTATTCTCCCCCAGGACAAGTCATGGTCCCTTTGTGGGCACTGCTGAGGCACCGCCAGTCCTGGGGGTAGTTCTGGGCCTCTCACAAGAAGCATATTGAGGTGCTGGAGTATGTTCAGGGAAAATGCTGGAGCAGCAGGAGCAGCTGAGGGAGCTGTGGGGGCTCAGTCTGGAGAAAAGGAGGCTCAGGAAGGATTTTCTCACTCTCTCCAACTCTTTTGCAGAAGGTGCAGCCAGGTGGGGTCAGGCTCTGCTCCCAGGGAACAAGGGACAAGATGAGAGGGATCAGCCTCAAGTTGCACCAGGGGAGGTTTACACTGGGTATTAGGGAAAATTTCTCCATGAAAAGGGTGGTCAGACATTGGCACAGCTGCCCAGGGCAGTGGTGGAATCACCATCCCTGAAGGTTTTACCAGCCATGTGGATGTGGCACTTGGGGCCATGGTTAGTGGTGGCCTTGGCAGTGCTGGAGGAACAGTTGGACTCGATGGTTTCAGACGACTTTTCCAACTTCAGCAATTCTACTATTCTCTTACTTATCAGGAGTGATATGGATGCAGCTGAAGAGCAGCACAGAACTCACTGGGTCTGTGCACAAGGGCCTGTCTGAGAGTGCTGCTCCTCCACGAACAGCCACATCCTGCAGCTCAGTGTTCATGAGGTGACCCTGCCTGTAGATCCCTTCACCAAAACCAGACAACAAACAGTTCAACTGTGAAGAACACAAAAAAGGCTCATAACCTTTTTTATTAGCTCAGCACCCACTGACTGGGTGAGATCCTCTGAGAGCAAACAGCTCTTGTTCCACAGTCCCAGCAACATACACTGACCATGCACAGCACTGCTGCTTCCACTGACTTCTTCCCACTGCCACTGTGCACAGGAACTCCTGTGCAATAAAATACCTGAAAACTTTTAGTTGAGGTATTAACAGCATCTCTGAAAGCAGCAAACACGACTGCAGAAGTCTGCTGCTAGAAGAAGCTAAAGCAGCAGGATCCCAACTTCTCTCTTGCTGAGCCACCACCGAGTTTAAGCTTAATAATTCATTGTATCATTTCTCAGAAGGTCACATACAGCTTCTGAGGTTGGATTAGGAGACCTGAGCTTATTTCCATACCTGGAAATTCAGCAGAGTCTACAACTTAATTGATTCACGATATGATAAATACTAGGAAGTCACATACACCTCAGGTATGTGTCGTGGTGTTTAGTCTAAATCCAGCTCCAGCTCCAGGTTTGGCAGTGCCAGCTGAAGAGCATGAAGGGTAGTTTTTCTCTCTCTGATCCCAGGAAGGTCACTCAGATACAAATATTCCAGGTTCCTAGAAATATTTTAAAAGAAAATCAACTAGTATGTGCTGACAGAAAACTCAGTGAAAGGATTATTCTGCTGTGGCTGCTCTGAGCATTTCAATGGTGACTGGTTCCAATGGAAGTTTAAATTTGAAGTGGGTGCTAAGGCTTTTAGCTGCAGAGGTGCACAGTATCCAACTGCTTCCCATGCCCAAGTGCCCAGGTCTGTTCCCAGACCCTGAGGCACAAGAGGACAGTGTGGCAGGAAGCAGTGTGAGGTGGAGGAAGCAGTGAAGTTACAGGACATGGCCAAATCCTGCCCTGAAAAGCAGCTACAGGAGAGGGTCGGGAGTGGAAGCCAAAGTGATCATTAATTACTTTTTTTGGAGCCAAACTCAGCCATCCCACAGGTCTGTCTGAAAGAGTCCAGGAACAGCCAGGGGAAGGGATACAGGGGAAGGGAAGGGGATAGGCCTTCCACTCAACACAGTCCCAGAGCAGCCAGCGAGCAGGTGGTATGAAGTGCTCTGCAGCTCACGTACGTCAGCTTGTGGAGTGCAAGGATGCCTTTGTCTGTGACATTCCCACAGGATATGATCTTCAGCTTGAGGAGACTCTTCTGCAGGTTGTTGGTCTCACTGAGCCTCTGCAGACACTCATCCTGGATGTAGATGCACTTCTCCAGCTTGATATCTGTAACATGTTCCAGGCCATCTGGAAAGGACAAAAACAAGGATTTGCTTCAGAACACCAGGACCAACCTGTGCTGGTTGTTAAGTTCTGCCATCAAAACCACACAGCAACATGTCCCTTCACACTGGGGCTGTGATGAACCTCTAAAGTCCCTTGGTAGCACTTGAAATATAGGAAAACCTCAGGGTTTGTATCCTTTTGGTAAGTTTCTAAGAGCTTTGACATGGGCAGGTCACAAAAAAACTACAAGTTTGGGTGATAAACAATTACTCTTGAAAGAGGAATGTGCTAATACAGCAAATTCAAAGTCTCCTGCTAGGAAAAAATAAAACTAACTGTTCCCCATTTTGGTTTGTTATTTAAAGGAGACCTTGAACACTTGTTTCATCCTTTGTAAGAAACTGAGTGCTTGCTTTTGTCTTTGAAGACATCACAAATGCCTGGAGGACAAGCAGAATTATCACTTCACAGGCACCAAAACCATCTTTTGGTGTAGAAAAAGAAGAATATTGACAGTGCTTTTTGTTATCAACTACTTAAGTATGAACTCAAGGAAATTTGTGGCACCTCCTTAGTGTGAAGAACACTTCAGGTAAGGACTGAACCTCTTTCTGCTTCACACACCTCCAGCAAGACCTTAGGAACTCATAAATATCTGTAGAACCATTTTAAGGGGAAAAAAATGCACAAAAGAATTGTCTGTACCCTACTAAGGAATGAGAAAATGACATAGATGTTGATATTGTGACGTAACTAAAGCAAAGACCATCAAGAACAAGCTCTGCACAGCCACATGTGCCTTACCCAGATAGTCAAATCCTCTGTACATGATGCAGGAGTCAGTGGCATTAATTGCTTCTATCCTGTACTTCCCCAGGGGTCCTGTGGGGAGCCCATTGTAGTCCTGCTGCCACTTCCGAGAGCCCTGGAAGCGAACCAACGCGCCACAGCGCAGCAGCCACTCCGACGCCGCGCGGTCGGGGCCGACGGCCTGGATGCGCTCGTAGTCCACCCTGTCACGACACAGAGAGCATCCACAGGCCTTCCACAGCATGGCACCATTGTTCCCTCCACAGGAAAAACCCACCACAGCAAACAGCTGGTTGTGTGCATGGTAAGATGTCCTGGGCTGCATCCCAAGGAGTGTGGCAGCAGGTCAAAGGAGGTGATTCTCCCCCTCTGCTCTGCTGAGACCCACCTGGAGTGCTGCACACAGTTCTGATGTCCTCAACACAAGAAGGACATGGAACTGTTGGAGCAAGGCCAGAGGAGGCCACAAAGCTGCTCAGAGGACTGAAGCACCTCCCCTATGAGGACAGGCTGAGAGAGCTGGGGCTGTTCAGCCTGGAGAAGAGAAGGTTGCGGGGAGACCTCAGAGCAACCTGCCAGGAGCTGAAGGGGCTCCAGGGAAGCTGCAGAGGGACTCTTGGGTAGGAACTGCAGGGAAAAAGACAAGGAGTAAGGGGGAGAAATGGAAAGAGGGAAATTCAGATTAGATCTTAGGCAGAAGTTTTCCCTGTGAGGGTGGTGAGACACTGTCCGAGGTTGCCCAGGGAGGCTGTGGCTGCCCCAGCCCTGGCAGTGTTCACAGCCAGGTTGGCTAAAGCCTTGAGCAACCTGCTCTGCTGGGAAGTGTCCCTGCCCAAGGCAGGGGGCTGGCACTGCATGATCTCTAAACTCCATTCCAACTCCTTAACATACTATGAAACACATGTATGTCATTCCTGAAGTCTTTTCATAGAATCATGGAGCTGTTAACGTTGGGAAAGATACTCCCAATCACCTCCAAGATCATCAAGCCCAACCATCAATCAGCACCACCACAATGTTCAGCACTAAACCATGTCCCCTAGTGCCACATCCACTCGTATCTTGAACACTTCCAGGGATGCAATTCCACCTCTTTCCCATTTTTCCTCAACAATTCCAGCAACTCAAAGAAACACTTCAGCAATAGTTAACTCCTTGGGTCCGTTCAGGAAAAGGATGTATTCCTCAGTCTGATGAGGAATACTGAGGGCAGAGACCTGGAAGAGGTTCCCATGTGGCTGAGCTTCAGCTCCACCACACAGCCCTTCCCACACTGCTAGAAGGCATAAGGCAAAACCGTTAGCTGCTGGCAAAAGTGGTAGGCAGGGAAGGAGTTTCACAGCGAAGGGTTTTATCTCTTAAAACTAAATGTGAAACCCTCCTGTGGCTGAAACTCTTGGTAAGCCATGGGCTGATTCCATGCTGAGTAATGTAAATGAATCATAGAATCATAGAATATTAGGGGTTGGAATGGACCTTAGAGGTCATCTAGTCCCAGCCCCCTGCCCTGGGCAGGGACACCTCCCACGAGAGCAGGTTGCTCAAGGCTTTAGCCAACCTGGCTGTGAACACTGCCAGGGCTGTTACTCAGAAATCTGCCACATCTGAGTAAGTAAAGGGACTTGGTTGTGCTACTGGTTTAAATGAGTTTTGGGGTAAAAGACCAGAATTTAGAGAGAGATCCCTCATGTCCAGCTTGCTCTGGCCATGCCAGGGAGGGAGCAGAGCACACACCTTCCCGCGGAAGGTCACAGCTCGGGCATGGGAAGCAGGTGCAGGACGAGCCCTGCCAAGCGCCCACACGCAATGTGGCAGCGGAAAGAACATTCACGAGGGAACAGCTACACTGCAGCGCGGGGACTGTGCTGCCCGGGACTCACTCTTACTTGTTGAACACGGCGTTCAGCCATCCCCAGAACCCTCTGCAGGCGCCCGGCGGCCGCGGCGGCGTCCTCAGGCC